ATGAACAGACACTTCACCATGGAGGAGATCCAGGCAGCCAACAAACATATGAAGAAATGTTCATGATCACTAGCCATTAGAGAGATGCAAATCAAAACAACAATATTAATTCAATAAAAGGCGTTAAAATCTTGGTTTCCATGTACAGATGAAAAAATTTTCCAAATAAAGCAAGGGTTGCTCTTGCAATTATATAGAAAAATGTTTATTCACTCCCACAATCATAACTGTCACCTAACAGATCCTTAATACATATGATGTGTTGAATGAATAAATGATTAACAAGGTGAGATGAACACTTATAAGTTATCTATATGAAAGTAAATCTAAAGTAGATTTTTAAAATTAAAATATGAAATTAATTGTGGGAATGGGTAGTATTAAGAAATCTTCAAACCATTTATACAAGAGGACTTCAAAAAGTTCATGGAAGATTTTCATTATCTTTAATTACATTTTCCCAGGAAGTTTTTGAAGCTGCCTCATAGTAAAAGAATACTGTCCAAGGATGTTTCCAATCTATTCCTTACAAAATTCAATTCTCACAAAATTTTCTACATACAGTTTTTTGCATCAGTCCAAATTCTTACAATTCTGAAAATGAATCTCAAACTTTTGTCACTCTGAAACGGCAAACTGCAAAATTTCAAACATTTATTTTGATAAAGAGGAATGGAACAGTACATAAAACAGGAGGCACAAAAATGAATTTGGGAATACACACAAGAAAAGAGCATAGAAGTAAATCATAATAAAGAAAAAATAAAGAAATTAAAGAGATGGAGAAGTCTTCTAATACAATGAAACAATAGTTTTATCAAACAACTAAGTAAAAATGAATTCTGTAATTGAAATGAGAAAGGGTAGAGGAAATGGCATTCCTTTAACTGCATTATCATTTTCAAAAAAGACTGGACATCAGTATTTCTTTCACACTGTAGAGTGTTAAAATCAACAAACTACTGTACACAACAATAGGCACATCCACAAACATTTATCAACACACTAGAACTTTACATTTAGAGTTATCACAGTTAACCCAAAACAAAAACCTTTTTCTGAACTGAAAACTATTTTTTAGAAGTATAAACTTTTAAAAAGTGAGACTTACTGGAATAGAGATTTTTTTTAAATTGCAGTCCTTTTCCAGGAGCTCATATACATACTTCGTGATGATCTAGGTGGAAAACAAAACAGAACACACCTATATTAAGATTCAGTATCTTTCATTACCAAGATCCATGTAAATGATTGCTATGAATATATTTCTATCTTGTCTTGATATTAAATTAATATCTCCCTTGCTAGTTGTTTGTTTCCTACTATATGTAAATAACTATAGACCGCAAGGACTAAGGTGCGCCTGACTCAAGACACGGTATTTTCAATAACCTCATATGGATGTGAAAGCTGGACAATGAATAAGGAAGATCATAGAAGAATTGATGTCTTTGAGTTGTGGTGTTGGAGGAGAATATTGAAAGTGTCATGGAACCAATAGATCTGTTTTGGAAGAGGTGCAGCCAGAGTGCTCCTTGGAGGCCAAGATGGCTAAACCTCGTCTCTCATACTTTGGACATATTATCAGGAGGGAACAGTCGCTAGAATAGGATGTCATGCTGGGTAAGATGGAGGGTCAGAGAAGGAGAGGAAGACCCCCAACGAGATGGATCAGCCAGGTGGCATCATTGATGGCGTCAAGTGTGGCAGCGGTGGTGGGGTTGGCCCAGGATCGGACATTGTTT